CAGCGCTGAGTCGGGTGCCTGCAGGGTTGGCGGCGCCAGCCGTGAAGCCTTCGCACCCACAGCCCTACACCGTGCGCCCTCGCTGCAAGCGGCATCTCTCGAGTCGGGTCGATCTTTGAGGGGCCCCGGGGCCTGGGACCTTAGTGGGCCCTGGAAGCGACAGGGCCGTTTTTTTTCCGGTTCCGTTTTGCTATTTTTGTTGCCGGTTCCGACGCCGTTTGTTTACCGGTTCCGTCGCCGTTCTTTCACGGGTTCCCGCTCCAGCTCCAAGCCTGGAGCCGTTTTTGTTGCCGTTTCCGGTCGCCGTTTTTTTGCCGTTTCCATTTTCAAGGGACTTTTTTTTTCGGAAACGGTGAAAAAACGGCCCTGCCGTTTCCGGGGCCCATGAAGTGACGAACCAACAACACACACCAATACCCATAGGGGGGTCGGAGAGGGCTATGGGTACGTGTTGTCGGATGGGGGTCCCCGCTCGAACGGGAGCGGTCCCCAGGGTCCGACAACCCGCACCCATACCCATAGCGAGTCCTCCTCCCAACGACCGCCCCTATGGGTATGGGTGGGTGTTGTTCGTTCGTCACCAAGCCTGGGACCGGGCAGCCCAAGCGGCCACACAGTAGACTCCAGCTTTCTGCCGCACTCCTCGGGCCGCGCCGATCTGCATGAGTGTAGCCCCAGGGTCCAATTTGAACATGCGGTCATAATCTTTGGCTGAGCGTGCCGCGCCGCCAGTTCTGCCGCGGTCTGGCCCGCGGTCCGCTTCCAGCCAGTCGAAGAAGAAAGAGCCTCGTGCAGCTTCAAAATCTGGCGCTCCGCGCGGATCTCTTGGATCCGCGCTGGGCGAGCACCGGGACTCGGCCAGCAACCGTAGGCCGGTCCTGCGCTCGCAGCAGTGCAGGACCACCACCACTGGGCAATGGCCATCCTGGGCTACAGCAGGCGCATCAAACGAGAAGTCGGCCTGTCAGGGTCACGGACCTTGCTTGCCTCCCGATGGCCTCCGGGGGACCCGCAGAAGCTCTGGGGCACCCTCAGGACTTTGAAAGATCGACGCAGAATGCGCCCCAAGATGTCTTGTAGCAAGACTTCGTACCGTATGTGAGGCCCGCTGGCGGCTTGCCCCCCGCAGTATAGCTTGGTTCTCCATTCTCAGGAGGAAAAAAACACACAGACACAATTAATCGTCGATTCCCCGGAAAATATGCGAAAATATGGAAAGTGGGGGGGAAGACAGAAACCCAAGAAATATGTGGAAGCACTGGGGATCCTGGCATCTGTGTATTTATTTGTGTGTCCCAGGGCACCTTCACACCCCTCCGACGGCAAGTACTGCACGTACCTCGCCTGGCTTTACACCCGCTTCTTTTCTGAGTACGTTTTTGTTGACTATTTGATATTTATTTTGACTCTTTGACCATGTGGGGGTCTCTCTTCAATATTTTTCATTCTTCGCCCAAGATCTCCCTGCAGGGGGACACGCCCAACTTGAGCCTGAAGCCGCCTGCATGTTTTGACGATTTGATTTCTGGTGCGCCGCGCGGCCCGCTCACTTCCGCCAGCGTTAAGTCGGGCCTGTCCCTCTACAGGAGAAACATCATATTTTTCCGACGGAAGGACCCCACATGAGAATCTCTTTAGCTTGCATGGGGATATCCTCCTGCCCCTTCCCTTCTCCCACCTACTCTTGCCTCCTCGTTCTCCTCCTGTCTGCTCCTCCTCCTGCCTCAACCCCTGCCTCTTCCTCCTCTTCTTGCCCCCTCCACCTCCTCCCCCTCCCCCTCGTTATGCTTCCTCCCCCCCATTCCCCCTGCCCCTCCTGCCTCCTGCCTCCTCCTCCTGCTCTCCCTCTCCCTTCTCCTCCTCCTCCTCCTCCTCATCCCCTGTCCTCCTCCTCTCCCTCTCCCTCATCCGCTTCCTCCTCCTCCTCCTCCTCCTCCTCCTCCTCCTCCTCCTCGTTTCCATATTCCTCCCCCCTCCTCCCCCCCCTCCTCCTCCTCCTCCTCCTCCTCCTCCTCCTCCTCCTCCTCCTGCCTCCTCCTTAGGCCTCCTGCCCCCTCCTGGGGCCTCCTGGGGCCTCTTGGGGCCTCCTGGAGCCTTCTGGGCCTTCCGGGACCTACTGGGGCCTCCTCGGGCATTCCTCCTCCTCCTTTTCCTCCTCGTCCTTCCTCCCCTCAGCCTCTTCCTCTTCCTGCTTTCCTGTCTCGTCCTGCATCATCCCTCCTCCTTTTCCTGGCAATCCTCCTCCTCCTCGTCCTCGTGCGGAACACGACCCAGAGGAAGCGCACGACGTGCGTCCCAGCCGATACGCGCCGGAGGACGACCCAGAGGAAGCGCGCGCCGGAGGATGACCCGGAGGAACCACGTGAGCTGCGGGACCCATAGGAAGGCTCCCGCCTGACGCGTCCTCACAATTCACTCACAGACGAGGGTCCCGCTTGATACTTCTTCCAAATTCAGACCTGAGGAGCCCAAAAGTGACGACAGTTACAAGAATCCGATGACCCGCTCGGATTAGTAACATGATCTGCGGGCCCCATAGGGAGGGGACTCCCGCTTGAGACTTGCTCGCAATTCATTGACAAACGAGGCTCCCGCCTGATACCTCCTCCAAATCCAGACCTGAGGAGCCCAAAAGTGAGGACAGTTACAAGAATCCGATGACCCGCTTGGATTAGTAACATCATCTGCGGGCCCCATAAGGAGGGGGCTCCCGCTTGAGACTTCTTACAAGTCACTCACAGACGAGGGTCCTGCTTGATACTTCCTCCAAATTCAGACTTGAGGATCCCAAAAGTGACAACAGTTACAGGAATCCGATGACCCGCTCGGATTAGTAACATGATCTGCGGGCCCCATAGGGAGGGGGCTCCCGCCTGAGACTTCCTCGCAATTCACTCACAGACGAGGCTCCCGCTTGATACTTCCTCCAAATTCAGACCTGAGGAGCCCAAAAGTGACGACAGTTACAAGAATCCGATGACCCGCTCGGATTAGTAACATGATCTGCGGGCCCCATAGGGAGGGGGCTCCCGCCTGAGACTTCCTCACAATTCACTCACAGACGAGGCTCCCGCTTGATACTTCCTCCAAATTCAGACCTGAGGAGCATCAAAAAAATACAACAGTTACACGAATCCGATGACCCGCTCGGGTTAGTAACCTGATTTGCGGGCCCCATAGGGAGGCGGCTCCCGCCTGACGCGTCCTCACAATTCACTCACAGACGAGGGTCCCGCTTGATACTTCCTCCAAGTTCAGGCCTGAGGAGCCCAAAAGTGACGACAGTTACAAGAATCCGATGACCCGCTCGGATTAGTAACATCATCTGCGGGCCCCATAGGGAGGGGGCTCCCGCCTGATACGTGCTCGCAATTCACTGACAAACGAGGCTCCCGCTTGACACTTCTTCCAAATTCACACCTGAGGAGCCCAAAAGTGACGAAAGTTACAGGAATCATATGACCCGCTCGGATTAGTAACATGATCTGCGGTCCCCATAGGGAGGGGGCTCCCGCCCGAGACTTCCTCGCAATTCACTCACAGACGAGGCTCCCGCTTGATACTTCCTCCAAATTCAGACCTGAGGAGCCCAAAAGTGACGACAGTTACAGGAATCCGATGACCCGCTCGGATTAGTAACATGATCTGCGGGCCCCATCGGGAGGGGGCTCCCGCCTGAGACTTCCTCACAATTCACTCACAGACGAGGCTCCCTCTTGGTGGATGATGGTGATGGGATGATGACGACGGTGTTTGATGATGATATATGATTGATGATGGTGATGATGATGATGATGATGATGATGATGATGATGATGATGATAATGGTGGTGGTGGTGGTGATGATGACGACGTGATGATGATGATGGTGGTGATGATGAGTGCTGATGGTGAGTGATCGTGCGATTCTGATTGTAAATGGTGGTCATGATGATGGGGACGAAGTGGTGAGTCAGCGAATAGTGATGATGATGAGGATGATGATGATGATGATCGTTCGATGCCGATGATGGTGAGTGATCGTGCGATGGTGATGGTGATGCTGATGGTGATGATGATGATGATGATGATGATGAGTGGGGAGTGATGGTGATGGTGATGATGATGCGGAGGAGGAAGCAAAGAGGAGCAGAGGGGAGGGAGGAGGACGAGAGATCCTGCGCGGAGGGTGTGCAGAGAAAACAAGAACCCCTCTTAGGCTGTGGGGAAAATAATAAGAAAACAGTCTGGGGACGTTTCTTTTGATTTAGTGGATATTTGTTTTTCGCCCAAAATTCCCCCGTGGGGGGGACACGCCTGACTTAACGCCAGCGCTGCAAACAACAAATAAAGGTCACCTGTAGGATGGTGGCGGCGTCTAGCTGCCGCCCTCTGAGCGCAGCAGGGCGGCGGCGGCCGGCGAGGCCGCGACGTCGATCGGCAAGCTCACCGCGGCGAAGGCCGCCATGGCCGCCGAGGTGGAAAAGTTCAACCTGCCGCTCGAGGCGCTGGCGCGAGGGAGCCCAGTGCCCGTCGGGTCATGTTTGTATATGTATATATGCACGTAGATCCGACTGAGGGGGCCGAACGGTCATCCATGGTCCCTGGATGCGTGGCTGAAGTGAGAATCCGCGTTGAGGATTCTGCTTGTTGTTGTTGTTGCTGCTGTTGTCGTTGTTGGTGTTGTTACCCGCCCGAGGCTTCCTTCAGGAACGGCGCTTTCGCCAAGGGTTTCCTCGAGCGTTCACGCTCTTACCTTCCTGCTCCTTCTCCCTCTCCCTCCTCCCTCCTCCCTCCTCTCCTCCCTCCTCTCTATCCCTCCTCTCTTCCCTCATCATTGTGCCTCTCTGCCCTATCCCCTCTCCCTCCTATCCCTCCTCCCTTCTCCCTCCCCTCTCCTGCCTCCTCCCTCCCTCTTTATTTCCCTCTCCCCCTTCTCTCTCTCTCTCTGCCTTTACCTCTCTTATCTGTCTTTTTCTCTCTGTCTCTCTTTCTCTATCTCTCTCTCTCTCTCTCTCTCTCTCTCTCTCTCTCTGCCTCTAATCAACCGCCCCCCTCTTCGCTCCTTCTCTCCTGGCGTTTTCCCTCTTCCTTCGTCCCTCCCCCTCCCTTCCTCCCACTCTCCCTCGTTCTCCCCCTCCTCTTCGTGCAGGGCCCACACCAATTCCAATGGCGGGCACATGTAGGCTCACGAAGGATTGTCCGCCCATTCAGTTTTGCCCGCTTGTCTGAGCCCGCCGCCCCCCGCAAAGAGAAAGAATCCCCACAAAGTGGGTGTGACCGAAGACAAGAAGGGCGGGTATCGAGGGTGTGGGGAACTCGTTTTGAATGACACGCGGGCAAGTAAGAGCCAACAGTCTTATAATGATTGGTTTTGTTGCTGTTGTCGTTGTCGTTGTCGTTGTCGTTATTGTTGTTGCTGTTGTTGTAGTTGTTGCTGTTACTGCTGCTGTTGCTGTTGTTGTTGGTTTTGGTGTTGTTAGTGTTGTTGCTGTTGTTGCTGTTGTTGCTGTTGTTGCTGTTGTTGCTGTTGTTGCTGTTGTTGCTGTTGCTGTTGCTGTTGCTGTTGTTGTTGTTGTTGTTGTTGTTGCTGTTGCTGTTGTTGTTGTTGCTGCTGCTGTTGTTGTTGTTGTTGTTGTTGGTGTTGGTGTTGTTGTTGTTGATGTTGTTGTTGTTGTTGAACATTATTTATTCTAAAGAATAATTATTGTTGGGCCCCCTGGTGCGCGCCCCCCCTGCGCCGCCTAGGCCGCAGCTACATTTTCATCATTTTCGTGAGGAAGCCTCAGGTAAAACGATGTGATCAGATCCGGTTGTTTTGTTGTAATCCGTTTTCCCTTGCAAAAAACACTATAAAATGACATTTCTTGTTCTAATATAATCAAATTTCAAGAATCCCTTGCAAAAAATAAGGTAAAGTGGACATTCGCGCGCGCAAGACGAAATCCTTCCAAAAGCTTAGTGTTCGGAGCGATTTTAACATAAAAACATCAAAAAACCAATGGTTTTTCAACAAAAAAATGTCAAAATCTCATCCCGCGCGCTCTTGCGGATTCGTAGGAAACCCAACACTTTTTAAACATTTCTGTCGAACGGGCTTTTGCGAGCAACTTTTTCGAACTTCTGCGACAACGGTTGCGCACCTGCCAGGGCCATCATCCCTGTCAAATAATACCATGCGGGACACATTCGTATGCTTCCAGAGCACGTATGCGTCCGCCTCGCCTTGTCCTGCTGCTCCTCCTCCTCCTCCTCCTCCTCCGGCGGGGCACCCATGGGGACAACCATCGGGACCACCATCGGAACAACCATCGCGGCAACCATGGGGACAACCATCGGGACAACGATCGGGACAACCACAACCATCAGGACAACCATCGGGACAACCATCGGGACATCCATCGGGACAACGATCGGGACCACCATCGGGGCAACCATCGGGAGAACCATCGGAACAACAATCGGGACAATCATCGGGACACTCATCGCGACAATTATCGGGACAACCACAACCATCAGGACCTCCAACCAGAGAGAGGTAGTCACGTGTATTTCGTCGACGAGTGAGCCAGTATTGCACATTGAGGCCGGAACGAGAACCACAGAACAAGAATGAGCATATATCGTCTCACAACAACGGAAACAAGTCCTGTGGTATGCTGGCGCCACGCACGTGATACCAGTCAAAATAAGGGTCTTGGCTTGTGTGGTACAGAAACGTTAAAACGTCGGAAAACGGTACACGTGCCCATTGTTGGAACAGGGGTATAAGTCGTATACTAAGCTAGTTTCCACAAGATGTTACCACAAGAAGTCATTGTAACCATGCGCCAGTGTAGTAGCCAAGGTCGTCCGCAGGCCACGAAGTGAAGTGTCCGAACGTCATAGGGCGGGAAGCTGGGTGTGGGTGGTGGCGAAGAGTCGTTTGGAAATTTGGTAGAGCTTGAACCGGCCCCCCCACAAAGTGGGGGTATTGCCCGCCTCCTATGAAAACCCTGGCACTGGTGAGAACGGAGTGTCCCCACGTGCTAGTAATTGTTGTTGTTGTTGAACATTATTAATTCTAAAGAATAATTATTGTTGGGACCCCTGGTGCACGGCCCCCCTGCGCCGCCTAGGCCGCAGCTACATTTTCATCATTTTCGTGAGGAAGCCTCAGGTAATTCGATGTGATCAAGATCCGGTTGTTTTGTTCCCCCCCGCTTTCCCTTGCAAAAAACACTATAAAATGACATTTCTTGTTCTAATATAATCAAATTTCAAGAATCCCTTGCAAAAAATAAGGTAAAGTGGACATTCGCGCGCGCAAGACGAAATCCTTCCAAAAGCTTAGTGTTCGGAGCGATTTTAACATAAAAACATCAAAAAACCAATGGTTTTTCAACAAAAAAATGTCAAAATCTCATCCCGCGCGCTCTTGCGGATTCGTAGGAAACCCAACACTTTTTAAACATTTCTGTCAAACGGGCTTTTGCGAGCAACTTTTTCGAACTTCTGCGACAACGGTTGCGCACCTGCCAGGGCCATCATCCCTGTCAAATAATACCATGCGGGACAGATTCGTTTTTTCTTCGCGCGCGCACGCCGAAATCTCCAAAAACCATTGGGTTCTTAAGAATTTTACCACCGCGCATCATAAAATCACACGAATCGCACCGTAGGTCCTCGAAAAACAGCTGCACGACTTTTCAAAATTTCCACCCGCGCGCGCTGTCCGAATCCTAAAAAAAAAACAATGGTTTCCCAACATTTATGTTACATGAGCTCGCGCGAGCTACTTTCGCACGCTCTTGCAACGGGGTTCGCGCGCCTGCCAGGGGCCATAATCCCTTGCGGTTGCGCCATAGGTTGCGCCCTCGGCCGCCGAGAATAAAACGCCCTCCTATTGGTTGCGCCATAGGTTGCGCCCTCGGCCGCCGAGAATAAAACGCTCCCCCTACTGGTTGCGCCATAGGTTGCCCCAGGAGGCCTTCAAGAGGCCCCAAGAGCCCGCCGTGAGGACCCAATAAGCCCCCAAGAGGCCCCAAGATGCTTCCAAGAAGCCCCCCAAAGCTCAAGAGGACCCCAAGCGGCTCCAGGAGGCTTCCCCCCTACCCCAAGAGGGCCCCAAGCGGCCCCAGGAAGCCTCCGACTGATCACTGTCACATCCGTAGCCATCTCGGATCAAGGTATCGCCTGTGTTCTTGGATGGGTCATGGCTTTGTCGGCGAAAGCCCTTGACGACCAGTATGGCCCAGAGCTGTCGCGGCCTCCATTGGCTGACTGCGGCAGCCCGTATTATTTGCATCATGCGCTCGTTGCAAAGGGTATCCAGGTCAGTCACCAGGCGTGCAAGCTTTGGTGGTGCAAGTATCGGGTTGTGCCTGGCACGGTCAGTATTTCTAGCGCCACGGAGCTGGAGGAGCATCACGGCTCTGCCATCCGCCACCTGGGCATCGAGTATAATACAGCTTTTAAATTATGCGGGGCGCTCCGACAGTTGGATCCACCACTGTATGTGTCAAATAAGGTCGCAACGACGTGGTTACTGCAGTATTCTTCCAAAGAGACGCTTGTCAAAGTGCAGAACGCTGGCCATCTGGAGACCTGGTATGGAGAACGTATTCGCACAGACATGCCCGAGGGGACTACTGACGGGGCCGTCTTGAAGCAGTGGCTCCTGGGACATTTATCTGTATCTGCTGACGCCAGGGTATGTCAGAAGTGGCTCAGCACGGAGTGGGGCGCCAAGGGAGCATTGAATACTGCCCAAGCTGTGGAGGAATGTATAGGCCAGCGTCTTCGACTCAATCAGTATCGGGAGAGCTTCGCCGACGAGGCCGCCGCGGAGGTCCGCCCAGGAATTCCACAAATGTGACCAACTATCTTGCGAGTACGTATCATCTCATGTGTGTCGTGCACACTATCAAATGTAACAGAGTTGTGTATTCCCATCATCCCAGGAACTTGACCCAAAAATGTGACCAACTCCGCTCTCTCTGTCTCTCTCTCTGTCTGCTCTCTGTCTCTCTCTCTGTCTCTCTGTATTATGTATTGTATGGCACAATTGCACCATGCTGGGCACATGCGCGCCCCGAATAAGTGACCAAGTTCTGTGGGTGTGTACCCCACGCCAGTGTAGTAGCCACGGTCGTCCGCACGCCACGAAGTGAAGTGTCCCAACGTCATAGGGCGGGAAGCTGGGTTTGGGTGGTCGCGAAGAGTCGTTTGGATATTTGGTAGAGCTTGTAATGCCCCCCCACGAAGTGGGGGTATTGCCTGGTGTCGTATGAAAACCCTGGCACTGGGGAGAACACCACGCGTTCGGGTAAAATGATTGTTGTTGTTGTTGTTGTTGTTGTTGTTGTTGTTGTTGTTGTTGTTTGTTTGTTTTTCGTCATTTCCCCCGCGACCTACTCGCGACCCCCCCCGCGACCCACGCCGCGACCCACCCGCGACCCAACTTGCGACCCACCCGCGACACACCCCGCGACCCACCCGCGACCCACCCCGCGACCCGCGCGCG